TTTGCCAGACATGATTGTATTGCTAACAACAGTGAGTGTCACATGGGAGTATGTCGCTGTAAGGCAGGATTTATCAGTACCCTGGACGACACAGACTGTAAAAGTAAGAGGAGTACAGAATATCTATAATGTGATTGTAAAAGTAAGAGGGGTACTGAATGTCTACAATGTGATTTTAAAAGTAAGAGGAGTACAGAAGGGTATCTAGGGGTATCAAAAATACTGAGGCAACTAAGATGATGTGCATATTTGTGTGATTTTTTATTGTTTTGTTTTACTAGAGGTCCTGGAGAAAGCGCTAGATAATAGGACATATATAAACCCGTGCTCGGACAGTCCCTGTCTAAATAACGGTCAATGTCAGCTCGACGCGTCCCTGGGGTACCGCTGTCTGTGTCCACTGGAGAAAGCTGGCCCTATCTGTCATAAAGGTAAGACAGATCAACATATGTATAATATAGAATAAATACATATCATATGATTATCTGTAAAGATGTCTGCGTCCACAGGAGAAAGCTGGCCCTATCTGTCATAAAGGTGAGACAGATCAACATACAAGTAGTGTATAATACATAACATATCAAATGATTTTCTGCGAATGATGATACACCAGGGTATAGTATTTCAATAGTATTTCAAAAATGTTTAAAATATTTCTTTTAATTGTTTAGTGAGAGTGTCCTGAAGAAAAATACTCTAAGCATTATTATGTAATATTTTCTTTCATGTAAATTAGTTGAATCTGATTGGTCAGAAACAATTGTTAAAAAACACTTATACCTGCTGAATAATGAAGCCACGCCCTCCAGCGTAGCAACAGGTGATATTCCAAAAAATAGCGAATGCGCAGAATTTATGCACGCACAGTTCACTCTTATATGTTTTTTTATATAAAACATTCTGTATAATATAATAAAATTGCATACATGTAGTTGAGTGTAACATTGAAAATTAGCACCTCTCTAAAACCATTGTCAACCTTGGCTGCACCTTGGTTGACAATGGTTTTCTTGGGGTTAAAATTTTCAATGTTACACTCAACCACATGCAATATTTATATAATATTCAGTGAATATTATGGATGAATGCATGAATGGAAAGTCTCAAGCTCACCTCAGTCTGAGGCTCGCCCTTATATTATGAATGTCAGGTTGATCTTTATTCTCATTTTACTGACAGCTGCAAAGTTCTCTGTGCCTTCCTTTACTGGGAACAGCTCTTACCTACAGCTGAGACAGAGGACCAAACCAAATGATGACCTGATGTTCGAGATTCGTGTGAAGATTCTGAACAACGACGGAATTATAACCTTCACCAGTCAGTATCCTAACGGTACCGGGGACTTTATAGCCGTCACCGTCATCAATGGTTACCTGGAGTTCAGGTGAGAGTCATAGGAAAGGTACTCATGAGATCTGGCCTTTTGAATAGTTTTATTTTGCCAATGGCTATAGTAGTACTTATGATTTGTATATACTTTAGGTATGACCTGGGGAGTGGTCTAGCTTTGATACGAAGCCGGGACCAGCTGAAGAGAAATGTGTACCACAAAGTTGTGGTCAACAGAGTGGGCAGGGCTGGTCAGTTACAGGTGGACAACAGTCCCGTCCTACAGGGGGAGAGTGAGGGGGCACTGACCTCTCTTGACCTCGGGGATTTCTTATACCTCGGGAACATCCCTGACGAAGCTAAAAAGTAAGGACTGGGTTATTGTAAAAATATCAGTGTTGCTTCAGCCTTGCTGTTTTGGATAAAATTGCAGTTTGCACCACTAGCTAGATTAAGTTTAAATTTGACATATTTTACAGGGCCAAGAAACTGCTTGGTCTACAGGTGGGCCTGGCTGGTTGTATCGACTCCTTCGCTGCGGGGAGCACCATCTCCCCCTATACCTACAGCCTCAGCTACCCCTCCAGGAGTGGGGATCTGGTCTCGGGGTTAGACGTGTGGGAGTGTGGCAGCAACCCCTGTAGTTCCCTTCCCTGTCACAATGGAGGGTCCTGCTTCATGTCTGATAGAGAAGTCTTCCACTGTGAATGTGAACATGGATTTACAGGTAAATTCTTAGGATCAGGAATGAAGAAATTGTCCATTGAGCTTCTAGTAAAAAATCAATGTTATTTGGATGTAATTTTAGAAATACTGAAGGAAACTTGGAATAACATTCAATTAAATTGCATAAAATGTCAGGATGGTCTGACAAGGTCAGTTAGCATTTAAAGGAAGATGTGATGTCGCATAAGATTCTTCGCTGAGATTGTTATTTGAGAATTGTATAATTTTAGGTGATTTTTGTGAGGTGGCGTTAGATCCGTGCCTGAGAGCGATGTGTAAGGAGGGATCTACATGTATCGTCACACAGGACGGAGGATTCAAATGTCAGTGTCCAGCAAACATGGAAGGGCAATTCTGTGAAAATGGTGAGATACATTGACAATGTATTAAGTAGTTATATTTTGTACATAAGGTAAACTTGTCCACATTTGACAGACAGACATACAGAGTTTACTTAAAAGGAGTTCTACTCTTTCAGAATAATCATTAAAGTATTGAAGTTACTGTCTTCTTGTTAATTACACATTACAAGCTTCTTAAGTTCAGTATCCTGCTTTATAACATGACAGAGAGACTAGAGAAGATAGCTGTGCCGGAGTTCAATAGGTCGTCTCTGATTAACCTTCCTCTGGGAGAAATCGGAAGTCACTCAGTGTCCATCAGAATCTGGTTCAAATCCGCAAAACCGAACGGTAAGGGAAGTTATCATCACAGAATAAAATTCAGTAAAAGTTGTTGAAATAAGTCTGAATTGCAAGAAAAGTTTGCTCTCTCTTAGAATTAAGAGTTTTATTGTTTACTGTTGAGTTTCACCTGTATGTAATAATTACAGGTGTGCTTCTGTATGCCAGTCAGTATCCACAAGGATTGGGTGATTACATTTCTCTGAACATCATTGATAGACAGCTGGAGTTCCGATTTAACGTAGGCACAGGAACAGTGGTAATCAGGTAAATAGGACGGTGGTTTATGGGGACATTTATTTATGTCTTAATGAGCTTTTCCACTGAACTGCTCAGTCTCCAACTTTTAAAGACAAATCATGGAGTTTTGACCATTTATGACAGAGAATCTATAATCCCATTTGATTTTTGCTGACCAGTGACATCAAACTTTCACTGGGCTCAGTCTTTAGACAACTGAGTTTTGTGAAGACTGATTCACTTTATTGATATATATCCACTTGCTTTTGTTCTCATTAATCTATATTGCAAGAATTGAGGGCACCTGTTGGAGAAATCTGTTCCTCATTGAGTCCTTTTCTTGTAGGAGTACAAAGACAATCAAACTGAACAAATGGCATGATGTGTTGATGCAGAAAAGTGACAGAACTGGGACTCTACAAGTAGATAGTGACTGGACATACAAAGGAATGTCACAGGTAAATACTGTACTTTTATTGACCGAGTTTGAGGGCAACATGCGTTTTGTCTGACCCATGAAACAAACAGAGTTTGGTTCCATGGTCGGACAAAATGCATTTTGCCAGAGAACTTAATCAATAAATGTTTTGTTATACTTTTCATTTGATTTCAATTTTTTTGACACATACATATTTGGTACTGTCTTCAATGATGTAACATCAGGTCTGTCAATGTTGAGCAACGAATGAAAATGAGAATGCAGTGTAAGTTATTTTTTCTTTTTAATTTTGTTTAGGGAATTCTTACAGAGCTGAACTTGTCTAACAGTGTGTTACATGTAGGAGGCTTCAATACCAGTGTTCCCAGTGACTCCCAGATCACAGCTAACTTCACAGGAGTTATACAGAGGGTAAGATCTAACAGTGTGTTACATGTAGGAGGCTTTAATACCGGTGTTCCCAGTGACTCCCAGATCACAGCTAACTTCTCAGGAGTTATACAGAGGGTAAGATCTAACAGTGTGTTACATGTAGGAGGCTTTAATACCAGTGTTCCCAGTGACTCCCAGATCACAACTAACTTCACAGGAGTTATGCAGAGGGTAAGATCTAACAGTGTGTTACATGTAGGAGGGTTTAACATCAGTGTTCCTAGTGACTCCCAGATCACAGCGAACTTCACCGGAGTTATACAGAGGGTAAGATCTAACAGTGTGTTACATGTAGGAGGTTTTAATACCAGTGTTCCCAGTGACTCCCAGATCACAGCTAACTTCACAGGAGTTATACAGAGGGTAAGATCTAACAGTGTGTTACATGTAGGAGGTTTTAAGACCAGTGTTCCCAGTGACTCCCAGATCACAGCTAACTTCACAGGAGTTTTACAGAGGGTAAGATCTAACAGTGTGTTACATGTAGGGGGCGTCAGTACCAGTGTTCCCAGTGACTCCCAGATCACAGCTAACTTCACAGGAGTCATACAGAGGGTAAGATCTAACAGTGTGTTACATGTAGGAGGTTTTAATACCAGTGTTCCCAGTGACTCCCAGATCACAGCTAACTTCACAGGAGTTATACAGAGGGTAAGATCTAACAGTGTGTTACATGTAGGAGGCTTTAATACCAGTGTTCCCAGTGACTCCAAGATCACAGCTAACTTCACAGGAGTTAAACAGAGGGTAAGATCTAACAGTGTGTTACATGTAGGAGGTTTTAATACCAGTGTTCCCAGTGACTCCAAGATCACAGCTAACTTCACCGTAGTCATACAGATGGTAAGATCTTGTCTAACAGTGTGTTACATGTAGGAGGTTTTAATACCAGTGTTCCCAGTGACTCCTAGATCACAGCTAACTTCACAGGAGTCATACAGAGGGTAAGATCTAACAGTGTGTTACATGTAGGAGGTTTTAATACCAGTGTTCCCAGTGACTCCCAGATCACAGCTAACTTCACAGGAGTTATACAGAGGGTAAGATCTAACAGTGTGTTACATGTAGGAGACTTCAATACCAGTGTTCCCAGTGACTCCAAGATCACAGCTAACTTCACAGGAGTTATACAGAGGGTAAGATCTAACAGTGTGTTACATGTAGGAGGTTTTAATAGCAGTGTTCCCAGTGACTCCAAGATCACAGCTAACTTCACAAGAGTTATACAGAGGGTAAGATCTAACAGTGTGTTACATGTAGGAGGGTTCATTACCAGTGTTCCCAGTGACTCACAGATCACAGCTAACTTCACAGGAGTCATACAGATGGTAAGATCTTGTCTAACAGTGTGTTACATGTAGGAGGTTTTAATATCAGTGTTCCCAGTGACTCCCAGATCACAGCTAACTTCACAGGAGTTATACAGAGGGTAAGATCTAACAGTGTGTTACATGTAGGAGACTTCAATACCAGTGTTCCCAGTGACTCCAAGATCACAGCTAACTTCACAGGAGTTATACAGAGGGTAAGATCTAACAGTGTGTTACATGTAGGTGGGTTCATTACCAGTGTTCCTAGTGACTCACAGATCACAGCTAACTTCACAGGAGTTATTCAGAGGGTAAGATCTAACAGTGTGTTACATGTAGGGGGCGTCAGTACCAGTGTTCCCAGTGACTCCCAGATCACAGCTAACTTCACAGGAGTTATACAGAGGGTAAGATCTAACAGTGTGTTACATGTAGGAGACTTCAATACCAGTGTTCCCAGTGACTCCAAGATCACAGCTAACTTCACAGGAGTTATACAGAGGGTAAGATCTAACAGTGTGTTACATGTAGGAGGTTTTAATAGCAGTGTTCCCAGTGACTCCAAGATCACAGCTAACTTCACAAGAGTTATACAGAGGGTAAGATCTAACAGTGTGTTACATGTAGGAGGGTTCATTACCAGTGTTCCCAGTGACTCACAGATCACAGCTAACTTCACAGGAGTTATACAGAGGGTAAGATCTAACAGTGTGTTACATGTAGGGGGCGTCAGTACCAGTGTTCCCAGTGACTCCCAGATCACAGCTAACTTCACAGGAGTTATACAGAGGGTAAGATCTAACAGTGTGTTACATGTAGGAGGGTTCATTACCAGTGTTCCCAGTGACTCCCAGATCTCAGCTAACTTCACAGGAGTTATTCAGAGGGTAAGATCTAACAGTGTGTTACATGTAGGGGGCGTCAGTACCAGTGTTCCCAGTGACTCCCAGATCACAGCTAACTTCACAGGAGTTATACAGAGGGTAAGATCTAACAGTGTGTTACATGTAGGAGGGTTCATTACCAGTGTTCCCAGTGACTCCCAGATCTCAGCTAACTTCACAGGAGTTATTCAGAGGGTAAGATCTAACAGTGTGTTACATGTAGGAGTTATACAGAGGGTAAGATCTAACAGTGTGTTACATGTAGGAGGCTTTAATACCAGTGTTCCCAGTGACTCCCAGATCACAGCTAACTTCACAGGAGTTTTACAGAGGGTAAAATCTAACAGTGTGTTACATGTAGGAGGGTTTAATACCAGTGTTCCCAGTGACTCACAGATCACAGCTAACTTCACAGGAGTTTTACAGAGGGTAAGATCTAACAGTGTGTTACATGTAGGAGTTATACAGAGGGTAAAATCTAACAGTGTGTTACATGTAGGAGGTTTTAATACCAGTGTTCCCATTGACTCACAGATCTCAGCTAAGATCTAACAGTGTGTTACATGTAGGGGGCTTCAATACCAGTGTACCTAGTGACTCCCAGATCACAGCTAACTTCACAGGAGTCGTACAGAGGGTAAGATCTTGTCTAATAGTGTGTTACATGTAGGAGGCTTCAATACCAGTGTACCTAGTGACTCCCAGATCACAGCTAACTTCACAAGAGTCATACAGAGGGGAAGGAATTGGCTGTGGCCTATTTAAAATGATGATGTGTAAATTTTAGGAATTTAGATCTGTCATATTTGTTTAAATGAGGTAAGTCATGCACAGTCCCTTAATGGTTATGTTCAAAGCCAGGATAGATCAGTGTAACTATGTCCTTAGTACCAAGACTGTTTACGAAGGAATTAACAGTAAGAAAAACTTTGAATTTGGATATGTTAATCTTTATATAGCAATCTTCAGTCACATATTCTGTCAGAATTAAGAGCATGGTCATATTTTTGTTAAATTTGGACAGATATACATTAATGGACACCTGTATGACAATTTGATTCACTCGGCCACGTCCTCGGTCAATGTGAGGGAGTACCAGGGCCCCCCATGTAACGTCAACCCTTGTATGAACTGGGGAGTGTGTGTACCACGACTAGACGAAGCCGACTGTAAATGTCCAACCAAGTACATCGGGGCCCGCTGTGAGAAAAGTAAGTAGAACCAAAACGGAGGAGCAGTTAAGGATATTGAAGTAAAGAACAAAATGAGGAGAATCACTAAACTTATCAAATCTATTTTACCTGTATACTGGTACCCCTAGATAGGAGAATATGACCCCAATAGACTTTGACTTCGGGTAAAACTACTTTGGTCACAAGGTCAAGGGTCAACCAATGTTTTTCTAAAATATTTCTATATTTGATTAGAAAGAAAGTCCTTAGCACCACTGCTATATTGAAAGAGCAATATATGGTAAGTGTCTCAAATGGCCCCCTAAAATGAATATCTTACTTTTAATTTATATATAGCTTTTCTTTGCACAGCTATACATATGACCTTGATTGTTAATTTTCAATTTGATTAAAATGCCGTTAATATAGAAATGTGACATCATAAAGTTCATGTTTTCCCACAATTTTAGCATATTTTGTATAAAACTGCTTATTTTCAAGCAGTTTTTCTTCCAGAAAATATTGAGCGCAAACTAGAACATATTTTTAATTTTTTTTTACCAAAGATGTATCTATTTAATACCTATTACTGACAGAAAAACATGTTCTACATGTTCTTCAATGCGCTCTATGTTTCCCATAAGAAAAAAACGTCAAGAAAAAGACGTATTTTTGCCTTTTCGGTTAGATATATAAAAAAGTGTTATTTCTGTCATCACTTACAGCCAGTGAGTGCATATAAATGTGAACAATATATCGGAAATATATCTAATATAATCTCTTCTACAAAATAAATATCAATTAAACATATCTGAATGTCATTCTAAAATGCTGATTTTTCGGGGGCCAAGATTGGCTCATAACATATATAGTCCTTTATTGTCTGTTACCGATTACTTTCAGTGGCCGATCTTAAAAACAAAGACTTGCCTGTGGCATTTGATGGCAGCACCTTCCTACAGTATCCAAATGAAATCACTATACAGTAAGAAATTATTACCCTTCACATAGAGAAATGAGTTCTTAATGCATTTTATCTTTTTTTTGACTACAGACAGAGTATGAAGTCCTTTTGTTTGTTTGACAAACGCCTTCCAGATCTTTGTCGTATGTTAATTTTTTAGTGAAGGATAAATATTTCAGAGGATGCTTTAGCCAATTGCATTTTTATTTTGATAATATATCTTCTTCAGGTTGGGGGGAAACGTAAATTCCGCTATAATAGTGGTATCTCACTATTATTATAGTGAAATTACGCTATATTTCCTGCCGTGGATACCCTCAATTTCATCCGATACCATGTAAGGTGTTTGAACCGCAAGTCATGGTGGGTATTAAAATGAACAAAACCTGTCATGCTTGCATGTTTTGAATTTTAATAAATTTTCTACCGTTGCGTTTAATAATGCCAGCACTCTTTTTTTAACGGAAGTTGCATTTTTAACATAGCAACGGATGATTGCGGGGGTATTTAAGCCTGTTTGAAACTCAATTATTCCTCATTAATGTGCACAAATTGATGCTTGTTACAATTGTCAACTTGGAATGGAAAGGGTTTATGGAATAAAACAAGAAAAAGATTATTTCTGTCTGCATGGTTACGGGTATGGGGGCCCGTTATGGTAAACGTAAAGACCCATTATTATCAGCCGCCGCTGCTACGGCCGATCTTTTTGTGGTTGTGTAAGATAATGCACATAAGAAAATGAGAAGGTTTTTTTTAATAGTTCAGTAAAATAATTCTTCATTGATAACATGTCGAAAATCATAAGTAAAATTTGCTTTAAATTAAATATAATTAATCGTTGTTATAATTTTTCAATTTCTCTTCAAGATATTTGATAATTTTTTACTATATAAAGAGTTTACAAAAGGTACTATTTATAGATGTAAAAGGAAATTTTCCGGATAGTAATTACGTGGCATTATAGTGCATGGTTAAATAAAATGAAAACTGTTCAACTAGGAAAAATTGTTTTGAATATGTGACAGCTGTGAATGATACAAGGATAATTTTGATTCTACATTTTGCACAGCGCCTTGTAGCATAGTCTATTCTGCGGAAACCATGGGCAATATCACGTGATAAAGATCCGGGGTATCTGGACGTGGTTCGGTCTTTTTTTATTTCAGACTGTCCTCAAAGCAATATAAATAAATTGTTTAAAAAAAATTATTTCAGACTGTCCTCAAAGCAATATGAATAAATTATTGAATAAAATGAGTAAATATAGATTTTAGTGCATTTGCTTATCAGATGGTTTAATCGATGTAATAAAGTCCAGGCGCGTAGCATCGTTTTTGAAAGTGGGGGGGGGGGGCAGAGAAATGTTTTACTCACCTGAAAAAGTTGACAAGCAAAAAAAACAACAAAAAAATTAAAAGCTGCCCAAATTCGAAAATCCTATTTCGTGCGGGGGGGGGGGGGGGGGGGCAACTCAAAGCCAAGTTACTTTCACTTCCATTTTTTTTTCGTACGTTTTCCTACAATTCCTTGATATCACTTTACTATAGTAAAAAATGGGGGGGGGGGGGAACCATCCTTTCAATAAACATTTTCTATAGTAAAGGTAATGTTGGGGAAAAGAAGGGGGCAGCCCCCCTCCCTTTGCACCCCTGTTTCTACGTCCCTGAAGTAAATGATAGATAATAAAAATTTAATGAAAATATCCGCTTCTCAAGATTCTAGTTCAGCTTTGAGTATCTTATGCTTCCATTGAGTGGATATATATGCTTTCAATGTGAAAGTACTTTTTTGAAATGCTAAATTGTTTGCGGCCGATTTGATGATTTGCAACAATTTTTAATTGTTGAAAATTTGAATTGAGTTAATCATATTTTTGACACTTTTTATGCTAAATATTGAGCAGTGGTTATTGGTTAATTTTACGACATACTTTCATTTCATATGATGGATTTATATATTTTTCGATTTACATGAAAAAACTAAAGCTATTTCTTTAAAATGATTGTCAATTAATAATTACTAGTATTTGAACATGTGTTAAAATAAGGTTACAGGCTCTCTTGTCAAATACTCCCGACACCAAAATAAAGATTTTTTTTCTGAAATAAACAATTAACCAACCGAAATTTAAAATAAACCATGTTTTCTACGATCGTTTATATAAGTAATTTTGTAGATTATTCATCATAAATTGATTTTGTTAAGAGGATAGAAATCGAGTTTATCAATATTCTCTTTTTTTATGTTTCCCATAATGGGTCCTTATGTTTACCATAACGAGCCTCCATACCTGTAACCATGCAGACAGAAATAATCTTTTTCTTGTTTAATTCCATAAAACCTTTCCAGTCCGAGTTGACAATTGTAACAAGCATCAATTTGTGCACATTAATGAGAAATAATTGAGTTTCAAACAGGCTTAAATACCCCCGCAATCATCGGTTGCTATGTTAAAAATGCAACTTCCGTTAAAAAAAGAGTGCTTGCATTATTAAACGCAACTGTTGATAATTTATTTAAATTCAAAACATGTCAACATGACAGTTTTTGTTCATTTTAATACCCACCATGACTTTCCATGTTCAACGGACGTTCAAACACCTTACATGGTATCGGATGAAATAGAGGCTATCCACGGCAGGAGATATAGCGTAATTTCACTATAATAGTGAGATAATACCACTATTATAGCGGAATTTACGTTTCCCCCCAACCTGTTCTTATGTACCACGATAACCTTTAACACTGTCAAGCTTAATGATTGCTTAGGAAATGTCAAAAAGAATCATTTTATTGGCCAAACTTAGAATTTTTTTAAAGAAGACGCAAGAATTCAGATATAAACAGCCTCTGTTAAATATTTTCAGGCAAACAGCCCAGAGGGTAAACAGATACAGCATTGTGTTCAAGACCAGATCCCCGACGGGCCTCATTTTGTTCCAGAACGGGCGGAGTAACATCCTGGGGGACTACCTGGCCCTAGCTGTGGTGGGGGGACAGGTGGAGCTCAGCTACAATCTGGGTAAACAATCCGAGGGAGATCTGCACATTATCCGGTCCTCGGTCAAGGTGGACGACGGACAGTGGCATCACATCATCGCTCTACGGTACGTACTGAGAGTTCCTGGTCTTATAAGAAATACTGAAGTTGATCCACACATAAAAATGCATAGCCTTTACAGAAACTCTAAAGGTTATCACCATATTTATACCCCCGCTCCGAAGGAGAGGGGTGTATACTGTTTTACCCTTGTGTGTCTGTCTGTCCGTCTGTCTAGCTGTCCGTCCGTAACAAATTTTCGTCACAGTTTTCTCAGCAACTACTCATCGCAGAAGCTTGAAATTTTAACACAATCTTCTCTGAGGCATGCCATATGTTGGGATAAATTTTTGTTCAAATCTGATGTCAACTTCCTGTTTGTCTGTGCATCTGTTCGTTTCATATATAACAAATTTTCGTTGCAGTTTTCTCAGCAACTACTCATCACAGATGCTTGAAATTTAATACCATTTTCTCTGAGTCATGCCATATGTTGGTATACATTTTTGTTCAAATAGGATGTCAACTTCCTGTTTGTCTGTCTGTCTGTTCGTTTCATACACAACAAATTTTCGTCGCAATTTTCTCAGCAACTTCTCATCACAGAGGCTTGAAATTTTAATACAATCTTCTCCGAATCATGCCATACGTTGGGATACATTTTTGTTCAAATCAAACAACTTCCTGTTTGTCTGTGTGTCTGTCCATTTCATATATAACAAATTTTCGTCTCAGTTTTCTCAGCAACTACTCATCGCAGATGCTTGAAATTTTAGTACACTCTTTGTTGAGACATGTTATATAGTGGGATTCATTTTGATGTTAATCTGATGTCAACTTCATATTTTTCTGTGCATTTGCCTGTAATTGAGCTTGTATATATATTAACATGGTAGTGTTTATTCACATCAGAGCGGGGGTATTACTAGTGAGCATTGGCTCACAGATTTCTTGTTCAAGATTTTATCGCCTTATCAGAATTAATGAGTAATTGATATTACTAAGTGAATGATTATTACAGGGATGAGAGAGAGGGGAGTCTACAGGTGGATGGTGAAGTCCCTGTGGTGGATCAATCATCTGTAGGGGCGGATCAATTAGACACCAATGGCAGGCTGTGGATTGGTGAGTGTAGGATACAAATACATGTAGTACCAGAGTAGTCAGATGTACAAAGTTTTTAGCTCACCTCAACAAAGTCGAGATGAGCTTATGCTTTACCCCTGGTGTCTGCATTAGCGTCGGTGTCCTGGTTAAAGTTTTTGGAGCAGGTCCATTCCCAAGTAACTTTAAGCCCTACCCAGACCAAACTTGCATGGATGATGCATCTTGGGATGGACACTACCAGACTTGCTTCGGATGCTGGATCTGACCTACATTTTCCAGATGAGTGACCAGGTTCAAGGTTTTGGAACAGATCAATCCCAATGAACTGTAAGACCTATTTAAACAGAACTTAATTGAATATTGTTTTCAGAATAAATACTGGTTAGAAAATATGTGAGATTTGCATTTCTTAAACTGATAACATTAGTCGAGGTGAGCTTCATAATCTTTGATTACCTATGTTTATAATGTTTACCAGTTGGTATAACTACTTTGTTTTTGCTATTCTCCACTTGGCAGGTAAGACTTTCCTAGTATCTTTGAGCCCACTTGGACCAAAGTTGTATAGGTGGTGCATAAATGTAGAAGTGCTCATTTCAAAACTGCTTTTGATGCTGTATTTGATATATATTCTATAGAGACTGAATTCTTTCAAGTTATTTCAGCAGTTTGATTCTCAAGTAGCTATGCACCCTACCAAGACTAAAATTGAAAGAACAAAATTGCTTAGAGATGTGCATACCAGAGTTAGTAATACCTATAATATATATGCAATACCATGCAATGACACAATTTTAACATTTCTCACTTCTATGTTCGCTGTTAAAACTTTTATTTTATTTGTATTGTCAGGTGGTAAAACAGAACTCCCCCTGGGTCTACCAAAGGAGTACTACACTGGATTTACTGGATGTATAAAGGAAGTCCTAGTGGACTATAAATCTTTACATTTGTTAGAGAACAGAAATGAACAGAGTACCAGTTTAATCAGAAACTGTGGAGCATCATAGCAGATTAAGGAGACCAGTTTATTCCTCTTGTGGATAGAGCACCAGTTTAATCAGAAAACCAGGGAACATAGCGTGATGAAACCAGTTTATCCAATACAGAGTGAGAGAACCAGACTTATATTTTTTTCGATTTCATCACCCATTATTAATAGCCTCGTTTGAAATGTATCTAGATGTCTTTAATAATGGATTTTTTTCTGTTGGATTTTGACTACTGGTCATCTGCATGAAGCAGTGATATCAGAACAATGCTTTTATTGCAGACTCTTTGTCAAATGATTATTTTACAGTGGAGATTAATTCAAATAATTATGAATGTAATGCAGTGTTATGTTTGGGGAAGATGATAATGGTTTATTTTAATGAAAGATTTAAAAAGATTTGTGGTACTGAAAAGTGTGATGATTTTACCGTCGAGGGGTCTTTTTTATACATGTATACATACAGTATATATGTGTCAGGAACTAACTTGTTTTTTAGCCAATAAATTGTCATGTGTAATCAAACATGGCTGAAACTGAGAAACTCTGTGTAAGGGTTAACTAAACCCTTATACCTCTTAAGTGTGTGTGTTTGTGAAAATGTGTTTACTAAAAACAAAGCTCCAATTGAAAGTTGGCATACACGTACAAATACTTAAAGCTTGATATGTAAAGTAAACATGTAATGGATATATTGATATGGAGCTATTTGCTTGGTTTATTTTAATTTCACATAGTCTGTAACTTGCATAAACTTAAGTGTAAATATATTGGATGAGAAGACATAACATTGTTTGTCATGTATGATTGTAAATATTCACAGAAAATGATTTGTATTAGTATTGGAGATATTGTTTTCCTTTGCAGAATACAGTTTACAAAAAAAAAGGTTTTAATAAATGTGCCAATGGTTTAAATTTATCAAGAACTGTTGATTTATGTCATTCTAACCCAAACTCAACAAGAGGCCCAGGGGCCACATTGCTCACCTTAGCTAGGAAAAAACAAATCAGATCCAAATTGAAAAGTTTATTGAAAGGGTGGGGGGGGGGGGGGCTTGAATTCTAACACTACTTGAGAATGCCTCAATATCAATACTGCATATAACTTCTTGAGAAAGTTCTTGAGAAAAAGATTTTTAAAGATTATTTTTAACATTGTGTTTGTATATATTACTTTTTAATAATTTGAATTTGACTCCCCATTGTTTCCCTCCCTACCACAAAGGGTACTCATGATTTGAACAAATTTAAATCTTCAATACATGGGGATGCTTACATGTCAATATGACTAAACATATCTTTTCTGTTATTAGGATTTCTCCCTTTATTTTCCAATGTAAAACTTTAATCCACTGTTGAGACCCTTCCCTACCCTTGGGGATTATGATTTGAACAAATTTAATTCTACACTACCTGAGGATGCTTCCATATAGATATCAATAATCAAGGCATTGCAGTACTTGAGAAGAAAATTTTTAAAGATTTCCGTATATATTTGTAAAACTTTGATCGGCCATTTTGGCCCCACTCTACCCACTGTGGTCATGATTTGAACAAACGAATGTACACTACCTGAGGATGATTCAACACAAGTTTCATCTTTCCAGTCTGTATGAATCTTGAGAAAGATTTTTCCTATATATTCCTATGTAAAACTTCGGTCGGCCATTGTGGCCCCACCCTAACCCCGGGGGTCATAATTTGAACAAACTTGAACGTACACTACCTGAGGATAATTTTACATGAGTTTCATCTTTCCTGGCCCAGTGGTTCTTGAGAAGATTTCTTAAGAATTCCATTAATTTTTCACTAATTCATAATTATTTCCCCTTTGAAAATGTGTGGCCTTTCATTTGAAAAAAACTTAAATCCCCTTTACCCAATCTCAAAATCTCAAGAATAGCAAAGGCTTAATTGATCATATTTATATGGGAGCATCCTCAGGTAGTGTACATTCAAGTTTGTTCAAATCTTGACCTTTGGGGGTAGGGCGGGGCCAAAATGGGTGACAAAAGTTTCACATAGAAATATATAGGAAAATTCTTTAAAAATCTTAAATTCTTCTCAATAATAGCAAAACCATAATTGATAATATTTACATGTATATGGAAGTATCCTCAGGTAGTGTATATTCAAGTTTGTTCAAATCATGACCCCCCTGGCGTAGGGCGGGGCCACAATGGCTGATCAAAGTTTTACATGGAGATATATAGGAATATTCTTTAAAAATCTTCTGAAGAAGAATTGCAAATCCATGATTGATCATATTTTTATGGAAGCATCCTTAGGTTGTGTAGATTCAAGTTTGTTGAAATAATGACCCCGGGTTAGGGGGTGGGACCACAATGGCCAATCAAAGTTTTTCATAGACATATATAGGAAAATTCTTTAAAAATTTTCTCAAGAATAGCAAAGCCGTGATTGGTTATTGGACTACTTTTGGATGACTTTTGGTGAGCGATGTGGCCCATGGGGGGTCTTGTTAGAGGATCGTTACCAATACATGTTGTATTATTTTGAGAGTTGTTGTAACATGTTAGGCAAGTTGATTTGATTTGAACATATTAACCCTCATTCAAGCAACGTCAAGGAATATGGGACTTGCTTGAATATGAGTTAATATGCAACAACATGCCTAACATGTTACAACAACTCTTAAAATAATACAACATGTATTGGTAACGATCCTCTAAAAACCAATTCCAAATAACTGTATCTCTCTTCTATTCTCAATGTGGTGAAGGACAGCACTGTGAGATTTCCATTGGCATCGAAAGCAAGTTTTATTGACTTGCCTAGATAGCCGATTAGTTAGAACGATTGAATAGATCTTATTTTGCATGATCCAGTACATGTATAAATTATACGTAACTTAATCTTCATTTTAAAAAAATTGTTATTTTTACAAATTCACGTATACTTTATGTATATACTAGCGATTGATTATTTAGAAAAGAAAATTAAAGGGTGTTGCAGATTTGAACATATTTTATTGTATATACTTTACAATTAGGATTGGGCAAAAATTTTAAAAACTTAATACGCCCTTTCCCTACATATGCATTAGTATATACTAAACATATTTACATACATTGATTTCAGCTTAAAATGAATTAACACAGAAAAACATAATTTATAATAATCAGAGTAACACACATTCAATTCTGATTCAATAGAATACATTCCTTATGCAATACACTTGCTGTAGAATATTTACAAAAAGTAATTATTGTATCAATCAAATCGTCCTGACTTGTTAATAAAAGATTGTACAATAGAAAATAGGTATTCATTTTCAACATCATTTAACGTTTCATCTCCCCAAAGTAAAGTGTGAGTATCGACAGTATGTAATTTACCCATTCGCAAAATTTTCTTAAAAAATTCTTTTCTAGTAGGCAAGTTGATGAAGAAGAAATCAGATAAGAATCCAAATAATACATATAAATATTAAAAAAAAAAACATCTCAAATGCTTTGAAAACAGTTGGGGAAAGAACTTTTGAAATATGTTTTGTCTCATTAAGAGTGTATCATAAATCTTAGCATGGAGATAAATAATTTCAGCTTGAAATAAAAAAAAAACATGATACACCATATTGTGGACGATACTTGTTAATTAAGAAACATAAAATGCAAGAATGAATAAAGATAATCGTTATATATAATTTGATCTTTCAGTTTAATTATAAAAGAACTTTAATTAAATTTTATGCATAGAATAGATCTATATACATGTATAAAATTATATTTTTTCCTCTTAGTGATCTATATTCTATTGATTTATTGTCTTTTTCTTTCTTGTCTTTTGAAGATTAAGAAAAATAGTGAAATATTTATTTTTATTTCGCAATGTCTTTCTCTCTCTCCGCGTCTCTCGCTCTCAAATATACAAATACACCTCATTTGTCAGAAGAGTTCCAATAAGGTGGTCGTAACTCGCCAGTCGTAAGTGCCACGCTTACGATAAGTTTTGTGGAACGCTCTTTTACGTGTACCTCTTGTGATCGTAAACGTTATCATACGTTTGGTGTCACAACAGTATTAATTTCTGCTATATATTCTTACCAGAAATGCGCAAGTTTGAGTAGATGTAACTAATTCAAAACAAACTTCTGAGAAGTTTTCTTTTCAGATCTTGTAAAATCATTCTTTATAAAGATTTTAGTACCAAAAAACGCATAGCCATCCAGCAAGGCACGCACGTTTGTTTCGGTCGAAGTCGAGCAGGTGCTTGAAAATCTAGTCCAGGGTCTATAATCACTCCCCACTCTTGACAGTATATAGAAAATTCAGCACGCCCTAGATTTTAATAAATCTTGTCAATACAGGAACTTTACCTGTTGTTTTTCATCTCATAAAAAAAAATTCAGCTCCAGTCTGGTATCAAAATGCCCGAATCGGAAGTGAAGATTCCGGGATTATTTTGCGTCAGCCACGATTTGACGTGAACCAAAGTGTAATACTGTTATGACACCTGCTTTTACGATTTGTTAGTGAAACGGTCGCCTAATCTCGGACACCGCTCTCTGATTTTAAAGAATATACCTGACGTGTCTCTTTACTCCCTAACTCTGTAAACATCTATAAGTCTGATTCGGAATATCTTCTGACATGTTTTCTAAACTCGCACATCACACTCTGGCACACGGACTTTTGCATACAATCAAACGAGTCATTACCTTCGCTGTACCCGGCTATCAATTGACTTGTTCTCTCAATAGCTGATATGCCTCCCTTGTCCAAATTGAACTTATAGTTTTCTCTTCTTTGTAAGGGACAAATTCTCTGGAGTTTGCTTGCCCGAGGATAGGGATACTTGTTCCCGTAAATATTTCTTTTATACTTTACTAAGCCATTGACACGCGCCCCCGCTTCTAGTAAGATCCTTATTTTTTCTTGTCTGTGCATGATATGTTTTTCATCGATCAATAAATGTAGCAGAGGTCTCACAAAATTCTCTTTGGTTTGTATCAGCTGATTTACCTGCATCCCAATACTTAAGAGGTGTGTCAGTTTATCACAATCTCCTTCAAGTATTTTCTTCAACAAATATCCATACCTTCTCACATTCCAAACATGTGTTTTTCCAATAATTGCATCATCAGTAAAATTCATTCTAACATCAGCATGTCTTATTGCTTGCAAAATATCAAAAAGGTGGAAATTACCCTTATTTAATTTTCTTTTATTCTCTTCTTGAATCAATAATTTCCCTATGCTGTGATTGTTATTAATGAGTACTTTAAACAAAGCAACTGGCAGTCCATCATCTGGTATGAAATAGTAATTTCCACCCTTTTTTATTTTAAAATCAGGCAAAAATCTATCGATGAACGGCTCTCCCTTTATGTTGACATTACACCCCGCTTTCAAAAGCTTTTCCACAATATTTGTATGTCCCATATCACAAGCAACAATCAATGGTGAAGATGTTACTCCATTATTGACGTCAGCTCCTTTATCCACTAGTTTCTCCACAATTCTCTCAGGTCCTCCTCTACAGGCAGCTTCTAGTGGTGTACATTCCTTAGAAGATAAATTGACATCAGCCCCTGCGTTCACCAGCTTCTCCACAATGCCCACATGTCTTCTATAACATGCAACTATCAGAGGTGTACGTCTTTTTTTACCAGGCAAATTGACAGCAGCCTTTGCCTTAATCAGCTTCTCCACAATGCTCACACGTTCTCCTCTACATGCTGCTGAAAGTGGTGTATCCCCATTAGAACGTAAATTGACATTTGCCCCTGCCTCAACCAGCTTCTCCACCGTGCTCGCATGTCCTTCTATACATGCTGCGAATAGTGGTGTTTCTCCTTTAAAACGTAAATTGACATTAGCCCCTGCCTTCACCAGTTCTTTTACAATGCTCTCATATCCATTTCTACATGCAGTTAGTAGTGGTGTAGATTCGGCAGAAGATACATTGACATCAGCCCTTGCCTTTACCAGCTTTTCCACAGTGCTCACATGTTCTCCATCACATGCTGCTAAAAGTGGTGTAATCCCTTTAAAAGGTAAATTGACAGAAGCCCCTGCATTTATCAGTTTTTCCACAATGTCCACATGTCCTTTAGAACATGCTGCCACTAGTGGTGTACCTCCTTCAGAAGGTAAATTAACATCGGTATCCGCCTTTATCAGTTTCTCCACAATGTGGACATATCCTCTGTCACATGCAGCTGTCAACGGCGAAATGTTGAAATCAGGATGTTGCACGGTGATGGTGTTTTTACTGACATGTGGAAATAATATATCTATAGTCTCTGGATCACCACTGTAACAACCCAAAAGGAATAAACGTGCTTCCTCTCTTTTCTCTTCAGGTGATAAATGCATAGTTTCTGTGTTGTTATGAAATATCTCAGACTGTGTCTCACCGTGTTGTTGAGTTTGTGCTATAATATATTGCAGGATGTCATGATGCCCATAGTAAATCACCCAACTAATCACTCTCACCATGAATGTTTTACCCTCGTTTGGGGAATCCCTTATATCCATCAGCATATCAATACCATCGCAATAGTTCATTAAATACAATTGTATGAAATAATTAATCCTTTTAGATTCTTTTTTGTGCAGAAATAATGATTTCATATCTCTGTAGGCTTTTTCTTTTATCATATCAATGAAAGCCTTGTATACACGAGGATGTTTTAAAGCATCATTTCTAAATACAATGGAAAACTTCATTTCCTCTACATCCTTGTACAATCTCTTTGCTAACATTGGATACTGATCCTCTCTTAAACTTATACGCAGGTCTACTATATCCTCTCTCTCACTGCTTTTGTCATCATTCTCATCTGAAAGAGAATCTTCAATTTTTATTTCATTGCTTTCTTCACTTTTCCTGGGCTTCACGTAATAAGCAATATAGCTACTATCCATAAACTCCAACATTTGCTCTGGAAATTGTTGACCATAGTGATATGCACAAATGTCAAAGATGGAGTCATGTATAAAAATGTACTCATTGCCCCTTTTTTTTGTGTATGTCCCCTCCATGGCTGACAAAGCATCGATAAATTTGAATGCATCTGTACTGCTTTCTATTTTACAGCTTTTTAAAACATTTCTTTTGATGTTATTAAAAAATGCATTCTCATTGTTTTCGAAAGCACTTTCTGAGATGAGAGCTCCATTTAGCATACACAAGACAAGAGATGCATAATTAAGTGGGTTCCGTCTTTGCATTTCATCAAATCTCTCAAGAATACAAGGAACTGGTGAGATAAAAAAATTCGAACCAAAACGTCGGAATTTTGCTTCTTTTGAATAAAGTTTGCAAAGAACAGGAAACATACGAGATGCTGATTCCAGCGATGATAACAGGAATTCAACATCTAAACCGTATTTTTGAAGTATCAACTTCTTATCATTTTCATCTAACTTATTTTCTGAGTCATGCAGCTTTATTACATTTTGTTCTTTGGTGAAGAAGGAATAATATGACAATGCCTCATTGAACACGACCTCTCTACATGTCATTAAGATTTTAGATTTACTCATGGGTGGATCTATTATGTTTTTTTCATATTTTTCCAAATGATCAAAGTATGTTTTCTGAAGGCCATGAATACCGACCACGTCATCAATGACAAAAACCTGAGGATTCTGCGTGTCACAATAATCCTTGATCTCTCTGATTTCTGTAATCGGTACAACCTCGTTACATATGTCTTCCTCTTTGAGTTTGAGGGCGATGTGATGAGCTGTGGCTGATTTCCCGGACCCTGAAACACCAACAAAGGTCACGTAGTGCTGGCTTTTTACCCTTTCCATCATTGAAGGGAAGCTGTGAGTTTCTTGATAATAGGAATCGTCATCCTTCCATTTTTCTGTAACAATGACTTGTTGATCTAAAATTTAAAAAAAGAAGTCTCAATAAAGTTGTTAAATAATGGCTAATAATTAGGTAAAATTGCTCTTATTTCATTAAAAGGTTTCGGTAGGAACCCTTAGTCGTACTCATTGGTAGCCTATATATGTATGTCGTAAGCTTACAACATGAACCACAACAACTATTAAATATAGGTTATGTTTTTCACAAAGAGACTTTCATCAAAGAAATTAGATTTGTTCAAACATGTATACTTTTAACATCCCAATAAAAGCGGACGTAATAAAGTCTATTTTATTATATGTTCATTCTAGCAGTATATTTAATAGGTAAAAAATTAAAAATCTCTGCTTGTAATGTGCAAATCGAAAAAAAAAATTCTTGATTTCGGACACCAGCTACTATTGGTTTACGTCAATGAGGCAGTTTATATCAACTAAACGTTCAGAAATAATGGATGGAAAAATATGGAGATAATGAATCGTATTCAATATCAAAGTCCACAAAACAATACAATATAGGAGCAGATTAAACACACACCTCCGAAACATCAGAGGTGGTCATCAGGTGCCATGGAGGAGCGTGCATCCCCTGCTGACCGGTCATACCCGCCGTGTGCTTCTTGTCATGGTCGGGAAATAACAGGAAAACCGTCGTCAATTCAGGGTATAAATAACGGACTAACAATTTGTATGAAAAACGCCAGTCAGCATTTGACTCAATGATAAATTGTATTTGCCGACAAGGTCATTAATTGTATCGACCATAGCACTTACGAAATGATGACTTTTAACGAGACGGCTGATATTCTTAATTCATGAACTTGCTTGTCAATAATTTACCTCGTTTAAAAATTGTTCATTCGTAGAGCATGCTCCTTCTTATCGAATAAACTGAGATTTATACACTCCGTATGAAGGTGATGAAGGTATATTGCTGCAGAAAAGTTAAAGTTATCACGTTTATCATATAACTTGGTTGTTAGATTACCATTAACGTCTTTTTCATGTAAAATATCGAAGTATGAAACAGATGTGTCAGACTCTGTGGTATCTTTTATCTCAAGCTCACCAGGATATTTTTATTGGATAGTTTTATCAAGCCGTAATAATTAATGCTCAGTATGGCTTTATGCTTGTTGGATGAAAACATGTAAGGAGCAATCCAATAAACCCCTTTAGATTAATTACACCCGTTTAATACATTCTGCTTGATCAAGATATATTTGCTTTTAACATATTAAACACGATTAGCACTACAATATTAGTGTTAAAAGTGATATGAGTTTATAATATTTGAATTGTTTATGATTTCCCATATCGGTAATGTTTTATAAGATTAAAATTTTGCAATATAAAAGTTTTATGGTAACAGCGCGAGTATGGTTGCTGTATGTGCGGTACTTGGCACCTGTAATTGCTACTTTTGACCCCTATTCTGTTTCATGAGGTTCGACTTCTTACTGTTTTTCAAATGTATCGGGTTTTTTTTAGGTCTAATTCAAAGGACCCGCAAGTTATACTTTAAATGCCGAGCGCATAGTAAAGGAACAATTATTACAGATCATTTTTATCGACTTAGGTCTATCGCGGCAAAGATTCGAGCTCATGACCTCCCGATTGCGTATGAGTGCGTATGAATTATAAGCTTTTATCAAATATTTAAAATGTATCACATGTACCCCCTCCCCCCCAAAAGTTCTATCATGTGAAAAAAATAAAGGATTATTAAAAAATGGAGAATTCACTCTGGTTAGTTTATATTGGATTTTTAATGTTTTATGGGCCTTTGATCTTGAATACTGAATACCTCCATATGTTTCGTCTTAAAAATCATGCAGTTGTTTCACTAAAATATGCTATGTCAGTCATTCTACAAAAACATGCCCAATTTAGATTTTTAATGTCGTTTACAAAATAACATTTGTTATATCTTAAAGATAGATTTCAACTATAAAACTTAAAAACTACATGTAGTTCAAATGCACAATTCTGATGCTGAAAATTCCGAAATACTTGCTACTTTTCATAAAAATTTTGATCATTCACAGCTGCCGCGTGCTCCCTGTCACGATCGGGAAATAACGGAAAAAATTGTCGACAATGATCTATGAGCATTAGGGTCTAACAATTTGTATGAAAATCGTCAGTTAGCATTTGATTTAATGATAAATTGAATTTGCTAACAAAGTCATTGTATCGATCATAAAACTTTTAAATGACGACTTTAAACGAGACTGCTGATAATCTTGTTTCATCAACTTGTTTGTCAATAACGTACCTCATTTAAGATATTGTTCAAACGTATGGAATGGTCTCGCATATCGAATCAACTGATAGATATAAACATACTGTACGAAAGTTTATGAGTGAAAGAGATAATGGCTATAGTTCACCCCCACCAAAAAAAGGTTTTTCAAATTTATGATTGTTTTTGATTTTGCAAAAAATATGATCTGCCCTTGTTTTTCTTTTTTTTTTTTTCTTTTTCTGTCATCTGGATGTAAATCTATTGTACGTACCTTTCACATTTTGGGGAATAGGAGCCATTACCTTCTCTAAAAAAAATGAAATCGATTAAGTAGAAATAATAATAACAATAAAACATTCTTAAGAAATGGAAGAAAATCTTTTTTCTTTGAATTCTCAATTAGTCAGAAACTTTATAAATAATACATTGATACACTACATTATTATACTCTCCACTTGAATAGCCGAAGTGTATATAGTGACCGGGTACCCATCTCTTATTCCAAACTCCTCTTATACCACTCATTGAAATTAAATGTAACTTTCTAAGATTCTTTATTGCATAATGACATTGTACACCTCCCATTACAACTATATGGGAGGCGGGAGTATCATTTAGTGAGCTCATTGCTCAATGATATAAGTAATGGTTCGCGCATTTGCTTTCAAAGAAAAAAATCCATGGAAAGAATGACTGTGATAAAATACCAGAAACAAATAAATATTGACGATAGAAAAAAATCTATAGCCCTAAAAAAAACTAAAATGAATATTTAAAACTTACCAAACCATCTAAATTCAATATTCCAGAAGTGAAAAAAAAATTAGATAGATTACATGATCAGTACGTACTGGTCCCTGCTGAAAATGCAGGTAACAACATTATCTTCGTTTGTAAAGCTCATTATATAAATCGTATTTTAGAAGAACTTAGATTTAAATCTATAACTGTTAATTCAAATTATACTCATAGTTCGCTTTCTAAGTAAGAAATTCTTCAAAATCATGTGTCAGTTTTGAATATTTTTGATATCCAAAAGAACCAAATAATTTTGAACTACCAATTCGATATTAGATTCGGAAAATTCAGAAGAATCCCTACAAGCAAAGATACATACAGGGTTCCAGTAAATGTTCAACCAAGCCTCTTTCTTTACGCCTCACTAAGATATTGACAGTAGTGAAGGAGAAACTTCAAGAGTACTGTACAACAGTATGTTCATGAAGTGGTGTAAATCAGAAGTGAATACTCAACAATTTCAAGAACCTTTTAGACAATTTGAAATTACAAGATTTAACCAACATTAACAGCTTGAAACTTACGGTTTAACTTTTTCACACAACAATTCCCCACGATAAATTAAAGTCAGGCTTTTTGATATCGTTGACAGCTGCTTTTTCAATAAAAATGGAGCTCGTAAATTTTCCAACCTTGTCATTGGTCATTTGCAAAACATATTTTGTTACAAAAACATTCTGATCACACAAAAGTACTCTGAAGATGACATCAAAAGATTGACAATTTCTATGTGGATTTTGGAAAACTGGTCTTCTAACAATCGTTTGGAATTCCCATGGGCACCAATTGCGCACCGTTATTAGCAGACCTATTTATGCATTCCTATGAAGCAGAATTTGTGCAAAATCTTTTTTTATTAGCATTACCTGAAAATTTATTTGAGATTCACTAATTTTCCCTATATGGAATAATTTTAGTTAAAACTTTAAAAATGAAGTTTGAAAAATTAACACGTTATTTGAAGAATTCAGAGAGATATTTGTGAGCATTTTCAATAAGTCAGTTACTGATTTTCAAGACCTATGGATCAGAATACCCTAAAGTCATAATTTCGTTAGTTCTGTGGTCTATACAATGACCTTGTCAGCAATTTTATCATTGAGTTAAATGCTGACTGACGTTTTTTCATACTAATGGACTTGCGAGAAGCATCAACATTTACAGTTGACGGTTTGTCGTGGATTTCTTGACAGTTTAATAATTCTTTGTATAATGTTAAACTATACACACTTATATTATGTTTTGTATGCCGTACAATGACGTCATAATAGTATGATAAATGTGTTTTTCATAACTTTGGGATATCAACCCACAATATTCTTGACATTGGTGCCGTGATCGCAATCTTTTTCCTTGAGCCAATGGAAACATATAATCAATATGACTCACTGTCAGATACATCAACATCATCAGACCCTTCAACACCAGACTTAACAAATCAGGCAACAAATACCCTATTACCAAAATGATCCAAAGTATAGAAAGAAAAAAACACTTAGAATATTAAGTATGAACTGCAGAAGACTAAGAAGCCAAAGGAGGATATGGAGATAACGAATAGTATTCAATCTCAAAGTCCATAAAACAATACAAAATAAGAGCAGAGCAAACACGGACCCCCCCCCCCCCAACATCAGAGGTGGGATCAGGTGCCATGGAGGAGTAAGCATCCCCTGTCGACCGGTCACACCCACCGTGTGCTCCTTGTCATGTACAGGAAATAACGGAAAAAATCCGTCGTCAATTCAGTGTATAAATAATTGACTAACAATTGGTATGAAAAACGTAAGTCTGTATTTGACTCAATGATAAATTGTATTAGCTGACAAGGTCATTGTATCGACCATGATGACTTTAAACGAGACTGTTGATATTCTTGTTTCATCAACTTGCTCGTCAATAATTGACCTCGTTTTAGAAATTGTTCATACGCAGAGCATGCACCATGAAGCTTGGTTGTTAGATTACCATTAGTGTCTTTTTCAAGTGAAATATCCAAGTATGAAACAGAAGTGTCGGACTCTGTGGTATCTTTTATCTCAAGCTCACCAGGATATATCGAATTGACGTAGGAATGGAAATTACCATTATTAATTGAAAATACGTCGTCGATATATCTAAATGTCGAGTTGAAGGCCACAGCAAGTGTTTTCCTCTTTTCACGCATAAGATTTTGCATAAATTCTGCTTCATATGAATATAAAAATAAGTATGCTTATAACGGAGCGCAATTTTTACCCATGGGTATTCCAATAGATGTTGGAATACCTGGTCTTTAAACCCACATAGTTATTGTCAATTAGAAACTCAAGCATCTTCTTGATGTCAACTTCAGAGTACTTATGTGTGCAATCAGAATCTGTTTTAACAAATTAATTTTGACAAATTAATTTAAAAGACAGAATCTTCTCTGAAGGTCACTCGGGTGGGGAGTACTTAAGGCAGTACGTAAAGATATCATAGCCTGTGGAGAAGCAACATTAGAGACCAATTGTGAAATAGCATGGACAAAAATACAAGTACAAGGCAGTAAACTCCTCTATACAGGGTGTTTTACAGGCCAACAGATAACGACACTGAAGCATTAGAACAGCTTAACAATTCCCTCAATAGACTCAACCATGGATAGACATTACCAAATCTACTACTGACTGGAGATTTCAACTTACCCGAGACATGTATTAACTGGGCTGACAATGCAACAACTATAAAACAAAGGTCACAAGATAACCATGAACCCAATAACACGTTTCTACAAGTGGTAGGGGACCACAACCTAGAACAGTGTGTCAGAGAACCAACTCTTGAGAACAACATCTTAGCCCCTGTACTTACCACCAACACCAGCCTTATTTAAAACATATCTATTGAAGATGGTATGAGTGACCATCAGGCAGAAGTACTAGACATAGACATCCAGACAAGACCAAATAAGAAACCACTAAGGAAAGTGTATGTATATGAGAGAGGAGACATAGAAGGGATTAGGAAAGAACTGAATATAAAATTTCACAATTTCAGTTCTAATAATATCATTTCATTAGGAGATGAGTGTTGGAATTCTTTTAAAAGCAATCTAGCATCATTAATGAATAAATACATCCCATCCAAAATGCTAACTACCAGATGGAACATTCCCTGGATTATTAGAACCATCAAGCAACTAATCAGGCGGAAACAAAGAAACAAAGATGCTATAATAAAGCTAGAAAAACCAAGAAGGAAGACGACTTGGAACACTTTAGGAAACTGCGCAGGCAAGTAAAAGCAGAACTAGAGAAAGGACATCAAGAATACATCGGGAACCTGTTGAACCCAACATCAGACATGAACAGTGACATCAACTCCGGTGTGAAAGCTTGATTCAGCAAGAGATTTTGGTCATATATCAAAAATGCAAAGAGGGATAATAGTGGTGTGTCCACACTTAAGGTCAACAAAACAAGTATAGAACGTAGCAAAGAGAAAGCTGAAGCCTTGAACAACCAATTTGAATCAGTTTTCACAGTGGAAGATCTTCAATCAACACCAGACCTTGGAACACCAGTAGCACCAGACATTGGAGATTTAGATATCAGCATAGAATGAGTGGCAAATTTACTGCAGTGTGTCAATGTAGCAAAGGCTAGTGGACCAGACCAAATATCCTGTCGAAACCTGAAGGAAGCTGCAAAAGAGATCGCACCCTACCTGACATTTATGTTTAAGAAAACACTCAAAACAAAGAATTTACCTGATGATTGGAGGACAACGAACATCACAACTCTATTTAAGAAGGGAGACAAAAGTAAATCGGAAAACTATCGTCCAGCTTCATTGACACCAGTTCCCTCTAAAATAATGGAACACATCATGTTCAAGCTCATTATGGAACATCTTGAAAAACACCAAAACTAGTGGAATTTCAGCATGGATTCAGAAAAAAGATCATGTGAATCTCAACTTACTATAACAGTAAAAGAAATTTCACGCAAACTAGATCAAATACAACAGGTAGAACTCTTAATACAACAGGTAGAACTCTTGATACTAGACTTGAGCAAGGCTTTTGATACAGTGCCTCACAAAAGACTTCTTCTAAAGCTGGACCATAATGGCATCGGTGGAAACATCAACAGTTGGATAGAGTCATGCCTAGTAATAAGGCAACAGAGGGTACTGGTAGATGGCGAGGAATCTTCAACAGTCCATGTGAAGTCTGGAGTCTCTAAAAGAATAGTCCTTGGCTCCCTGATGTTTTTGTTTTATATTAATGACATTGGTAATAACATCACCTCATCTTTTCGATTGTTTGCTGATGACAGCTTATTATATCTTGCTGTTTCTTCCTAGAGGAAAATTGCAGAAAGACCTAGCATCTCTTATACAATGGGCAGAAAAATGGCAAATGGTTTTAAACACTACTAAATGTTACGTTCTTCGTATCTGAAAAAACGAAACATCATAGTTTTCCCTTATCATATGAAAGGACATGTTCTGGATAAAGTGGATTATAATCCTTATCTTGGAAAAGAGTCAACATCAACACTCTCATGGGACCATCACATAAACAACATAACCACCAAAGCAACAAGATCACTTGGATTTGTATGTAGAAATCTAGGGAAATTTCCCCAAGAAATAAAGAGTCAAGCTTACTTGGCACTAGTAAGATCACACCTAGAATATGCAAGTAGTGTTTGGAATCCTTATCTCCAAACACATATTCAACAACTAGAAATGGTACAAAAAAGATTCTGCCAGATTCATTGCCAGGGAATATTCAAGAGATCCAGGAACAATAACATTACTATTAGATAAATTAAAATCATCAACTCTTGAGCTAAGACGAAAAACATCACGTCTTCTCATGTTCCAGAAAATATTACACCAAGAAATTAAAATACCAATACCTGACTACATCCATACATCAGAAAGATCAACTAGACGAACACATCAGAAACGTTTTATCAGGCTAAGTTCTACTGGAGAACAATATAAGAAAGGCGTCTTCTCCAGAACCATTTGGGATATGAACAATCTACTACCCGATATATTGAACGTTGATAACTATGAGTCATTTAATACCAGACTCGTAGATCATCTGAAATAAACACCAGAGCCAAAATTGTTTTCATCCTAGGCCTGCACCTACTACTGTAAATAGATGATTTTAAAATGCACCTCTTGTCTGACGTCAAACTTGTGTGATGGTTCGGAGGCCCCTTACAAGTAAAGAAGTATAAGTAGAAGTATTACTGAGCCAGAAGATGAAACTTCCACTACAAGATAAGAGGGAGTTACTAGAACTGATTAACGCAGACATTCTTCAAGGATTAAAGGAAGAAGAGATACTACCAGAAATACAGGAATCAGATGAATATGTTATACCTAAGGCTGAAGTTAAGAGATTTAATGAAGGATACATTGCTTGAACAGACTCGGTTCAAGCCAAGCCAAGTAAATGAGAACATTCATCTATCTACTCTCTTGAATCTGAATGTAAATGCGCCTAACTTCATTCCAAACAATGCCTACTCTTCCCAGCTTAGGTTAGGAAGCACCTAGATTCAAAGTCATAAATTGCCTATATTAAACTTGCCTATATTTGCTGGAAATTTACTTGAATGACAGACTTTTATGGATTGCTTTGAAACAAGAAGGATGTGGAGATAACGAACTATATTCAATCTCAAAGCTCATAAAACAATAAAAAATAGGAAGGATGAATATGTGTCCGGGTATGAACCAAATGACGCCATACCATATTACGCATATATGTCTCTATTTCGTTGATGTAAAATCCTACATTTGGAATACTATTTGGAGCTAGAAGATCCATCAGTTTCTACATGTACGCATTTGTTAATTTGTGGGTTTGACCGTATTTCTCAGATAAAACATCCAAGGCTTGTCTGTAATTGAGATTTGTCAAAGCAAATCCTTGAATAATTTCAAAAGCCTCAAAGCAATGCTCTAAGATAGTTGAATTTCTCAACATCAGACACGCTGTTGTTGCTATATCAGCAGTCTCGTTTAAAGTCATCATTTCGTAAGTTTTATGGTTGATACAATGACCTTGTCAGCAAATACAATTTATCATTGAATCAAATGCTGACTAATGTTTTTCATACTAATTGTAAGTCCATTATTTATACACTGAATTGACGATGGATTTTTTCTGTTATTTCCCGATCATGACAAGGAGCACACGGCAGGTGTGATCGATCAGCAGGGGATGTTCACTCCTTTATGGCACCTGATCCCACATCTGATGTTTCAGAGATCCGTGTTTGCTCTGCCCCTATTTTGTATTGTTTAATGCACTTTGATATTGAATACTGTACGTTATCTACATATCCTTCTTGAAAATATTCCCAGTCATAACTTTAAGTGACTTTGTCCTTATTGTAATAAATTTGTATTTGACAACTTTTTTGATTTAAAGAACCCGAGCTGAATTACCAATCTCCTTTATTTAAGCATTTTTAATTATCATTTTTTGAAAAAGTAGACTGTGCAGTGTGTGCGAAAAAGTTCATATATTCTTGCATTTATGAGATTACACCTTTGAAGAATAATTAAATGCTTATATTTACAACTCACTGCTTTTTGTGATATTGCTTGATTTATCCAAAAGTTACAATGAAAGAAAGAGCCATTCGAACAGCCATACTTCATTGTGAGGGTAAATTTTGATTTTTGCCTATGATAATGCACCTGTATGGCGTTCAGTTTAATAATTAGAATAAGAAGCAAAAGGCTTCGTGTTACTTGCAGATAACTAATTTGTTCTGGTATCAGAATAAGCTGTAATTCTTAATTTCCAACTCATTAGTATATGAAATTGTAATTCAATACTTTACCCTTTATTTCTTGTACTTCTTTCGCTGTTTTTTTGGATTCTTCTGCAAAACAGAGAATGTTTTTAAAGGTTATTTTGTTCGTACAACTCTCAGTACCTTTTAACGATTTTCCTTTCCATGGAAAATTCATATTCTAACATAAATGTACGTACAAGTTCACGAACTAGTTTATTTCGATATCCATAATTATCTGCATTATATATTTGCAATATGCCTGGCTCTGACATTAAATCAAAGTACTTGACAGGTATAGGTTGTATGATTTTTGCCTATGATAATGCACCTGTATGGCGTTCAGTTTAATAATTAGAATTAGAAGCAAAAGACTTCGTGTTACTTGCAGATAACTAATTTGTTTCGGTATCAGAATAAGCTGTAATTCTTAATTTCCAACTCATCAGTATATGAAATTGTAATTTAATACTTTACCCTTTATTTCTTGTACTTCTTTCACTGTTTTCTTCGATTCTTCTGCAAAATAGAGAATGTCTTTTGAAGGTGATTTTGTTCGTACTACTATTATCAGTACCTTCAAACGATTCCCCTTTTCATTAAAAAATTCATATTCTCTCTAACGTGCGAAGTCTCGAACAAGTTTATTTCCATAATTATCTGCATTAACTATTTGCAATGTTCTGGGCTCTGCATTAAAAAACATCTCCCCAAACCTGGACTTCTTTACTGTCCCGTTAAGTTTATGTTCGCATAAATGATAATTGAAAAAGTTTGGTAAAAATTATGCTTTTCATTTTAAAAATAAATGGAAAAAGGAAAATATTTTAACCCCCCCCCGAAACAAAATTCCTTATATCTATTTCATGGGGGTAAGGGACATATGTTTACAGACAAAAATGCTCATTTATCACCAGTTTTGAAGGGTTCTACAGCTTAAACATTGTATTTTATCAATAACAATGTTGGTTTTTATATGTGTAAAACATAAGAAAAGATTTAAAGAACATTCATCCTTATTCAAGATTATTTTCATTTGTTTTGCAAAATAAGGAATGAATTTTTAAAGGTTATAGTGTTGCTACTGTTATTATCAGTACATTTTAACGATTTCTTTTCTTTCATGATAAATCCATAATTTAACTTACTTGTGAGTTCACCAATCACTTCCTTTGTTTTTTGTTCTTCTTCATATTGTTTCCTTATTTCTTCGCGGTAACGTTGGCCTTGTACTGGGTCCATTTCTTCAGTAAATAGAAATTTAACACCTTCCAGGTAATTGGTTTTGTATATCATATCAAGGTTTTCGACAGCTGATCTGAGGGTCGACCAGTAGGTGTTAAATTCTGCATATGAAAGATAGTCTTTCGTAGCATGCCCTCCACATTCATTTCTGACAAAATGGATACTTTCTATATAAGCAGATTCATATTTGCCATGTTTATCATGATTATACATCCATTGTATTCCATCTACCAACCAGATGCTTCTTAACATTGTGTACAGTAAGGAGATGTCCATATCATCATAATTGCCATTATACGTTTTACCCTGTGGTAAAACAAGACGTATTTGTTTTTTTGATAAGAAAGGTAAAATTTCATTTTCTTTCGGACGTATGGTAACAGTCAGGGATGCGGGACGAAGGTATCTACGTAATGCAAAACGAAGTTGATCAGTACATGGACCCAGTAGAAGTCGAGACACTCGGGTAAGGTTTGTAGTCTCCTCTGTCGATGCATACCGCGAGCAGGCCATATTTTGAAGTCAAAGAGGGACGTCAATCTAGGAGTAAACAATTTATTAATGTATGTGCAAACAAAGAGGAGCCTCAGTCTAGATATAGTTCATACATATTATAATTAGCCTGCTACTAGAGAAACACCGACATCTTACGAACGAACGTAACTCGGGATTACTTATCTGGATTGTTTTCTCGGGACCAGTAATTGCACCCATATAAAATTAAAAATCGGGAAAAGTAAGTATATATGTAAAATAGAATGGATAATGTTTTGAAAATGTCTCATGTCAATTTTTTTGTAATCACTTACAATGTTATTATTAAAGCGAACAAATAGGGGAAAGTCCGGGTAGGAACACTGTAATGTGTCAGTAATTAAACGTATGCATACCAGGGTTGGGGTCAATTACTTCAAAAAGTAACTAATTAAATAACAATTAATTGACATTTTCTTCAATTAAATTTAGCCCCGTGGGGATCCAGGTTAGAATAGGTCCTCAGTACCCCCATGCTTGTCGTAAAAGGCGACTGAATGGGGCGGTCCTTCGGATGAGACCGTATAAACCGCGGCCCCGTGTCACAGCAGGTGCGATAAAGATCCCTCCCTGCTCAAAGGCCGTAAGTGTCGAGCATAGGCCTAAATTTGCAGCCCTTCACCGGCAATGGTGACGTCTCCATATCAGTGAAATATTCTGGAGAGGGACGTTAAAAAGTATACAATCAATCAATTAAATTTAAATTAAATTACAGGCTCTCATGTTCATTGTACTGTATATATCTTCTCTTCACTGTTTTGTCAGTAATATGAGAATAAAGTTCAAGTTCAAGTTCGAAGGCAATGTAATTAATTAAAAAAGTAATTGATTAAATTACAAAATAATTTTTTAATTTTTCTAAAAATTATAATAATCTTTGTCAAAGAATATAGGAAACAGGGATCATTCATTTGTATATAAGCTCACAGCCTTTGCACAAACAATACAAGAAATTGATTATATTGGCATCTTACTTATTTTTTCTTTTAATAACAAAATATACCCCTACCTACTAATAAGCAAAATTAATTTTCGGACGCCAGACTTCGAAAGACTAAACAGTAAGAATATGGTTGCAAGGAATTTATTTTACGGAGTTTCAGACGAAAATACATGTGAATGTGACCGACTTCGAAAAATCCAAAACTCGGATGGCGTCCGATGGTTACCTTTGTTTATTATAAGGTAGGGGTAATTTTTTTATCAAAAAAAAATTAGTAAGGTCAGGTGTCTGTGCTTTGTAGTTTGAATTATAGCTTTTATTTACAAAACAATGAAGAACTATTTGAGACCCGTTTGAGGCAGTTTCCTTCACTTAAAAGGGGTATTTTATTTGACTAAAATAAGTCGCAATTGTAACCCCTCAAGTCAATTTTTTTTTTCAAAGGTTGCCTGAACATCTTTAATTGCTATTTATAAGAAATTTTTTTACTTCATAAATATTACTTGTATGAACATAATTTTTTTAAACATAAAATTAATTCACAAAATTCTGTTAAGGTATTAAAATAATTATCAAATTGAAAGTTTTTCTTTCCCCAAATTAGCTGAGCATTTAATTGAAATAATTATCTCCATGCATTGGCTTTATCTTCTAAAGCATGGAATGAATACCTCCTTGGCAGCATTTTATTTTCGGAATTTTTGGTAATTATCAGCTTGTTTCCGACATTTTTTTTATGTTTTCATTTCAGAATTTTTTTTTTGTTTTCATTTCCGACTTTATTCAGATACATATGTAGTACCTTTAGTAACAGAGCTGAAGACTTTAATCATCGCAACTTTTTGCAATTTACAGTGTGTAGACTGAAAAAGACGACATGTCGATGTTGTTTAAAGAAGTATTTGAAAGCCCAGAAGGCTCATTCGAGATTCAAGGATCGAAATACGGGATTCGAGTTTCGAGATTCAAGATCAAAAGCGGGTTCAACATTTGATAACTTCACTTTATTATGATGTTACTATCAAGAAATCGTTTAATATATTTATAACAAATGAGTCATTTTGATTAAATTACAATGCAAGAAAAAGTGTTATATATATTAAAAGGATATTCAAATAATCATTGGATTTTTGAATTTATATTACATAATATGGCTTCTCAAATATTGAATAGAATACATATATCAGGAATATATATATATTTTTTATTGTCTACTTTGTTTACGGGGTTGATTACATATAAATAAGTTATAAATAAGTGTCAAGTGTCTAAAGATTAACAATAACCCAACCCCTACCCACCCCACCTGCCCATTTTTTCAATACACACTGAAATGCTTGAAACTTGAAAGGCGACGTAGTATTGATAAACAAAAATCGCGTTCTTTTCCTGATAGAGGAAATACATAAAAATTTAAAAGTATTTAATTACTTATCTTCATCTAAAGCTTTGATTTCTTGAATTTATTAAAAATCATATCCACAATACAGCTTGGCAATATGAATCAAAATAAATGCAGAATTTATTTTATCTCATATCAAACAGTAGATGAGTCTAAATTAGATGCAGAACTGTATAGCGTTATGGTGTTATATTTTAGTCTCTGACCATATAGCGTTATGGCCAAAGACTAAAATATACTCGTGAAACCTTATAACGCTTACAGTTCGATTCAGCAGTCAAGTCTCACTGCACTGTACCCTTTATAAATGTAATGAAATATATACCCTTGAATTACTGTGCAGTGTAGATACGTATCATAATATTTCATATCTAATTATAATCAAATGCAATATTCTCCCTCAGGAATGATCTGATAAATAAAATAGTTGACATACTTGTTCTGCAACCAACGATAAGACGATAGAATATTCCATATATACGTATTTACTATTTTGTTTAATTAGAAAAATAAGATTATTATATGTATTTTTTTCAAAATGTTATCCAAATTTTATTGTTATTTCGTTTTACTACATAATAATTTTTTCTTGCATTATTATTTTAGCAAATGATCCATTTGTTACATAATATCTAACGACTTCTTGATAGTAAAAACGTTACAAAGGGGAGTAATCAAATGTTGGACCTGCTTTTGATTGGTTAGTTTGGATCCTGAATTTCGAAACTAGAATTTCGAATCTCGTATTTTGAAACTTGAATCTCGAATGAGCCTTTTGGGCTTTCGTATACGATGATATAGAACTTCGAGTTCTTCAAAATATAAACAAGGCTGGTGCCTTGTTTTTCTTTACATAAAGAATATATTAAATATCAAAATGAAATTCAGCAAAGAACTAGAAACTGTCTAATTGTATTTAGAAATAACTTCTTTATTGATATTATCTGCCTTGAACGTATATAAAATATTAGTATATTAATAGTAAATAGAAATGTAAACAAAACATGACACGGACCCTGTTTACATAACAAAGGTTTGGAGCTCTAAATCTGTCTTGTATCTAAACAACTAGAATTAAAATTTTTGATGATCATTATAGAAATTCCTTTAAAGGATAATGATTTCCTATCGATTAAAAGAGATTATTGTCGTATTTTCCTAAGCTGACCTGTTCAAGGAAGATTCAGTGACCCTTGTTAAATCTATGATGATGCGATATTTACATATTATACATCTTTGTCAGCACAAAATGCGTCAAAATAAAATGTAAAAGGTGTAACAAAACAGGGATTTCAACACCGGTTAAAGTAAGCATAATTTGTAAATCATTATAAGGACCATTATTGAGCCTTGTTAGCAAATACATGTATACTCTGTCAATGGGTCTCAGTTGTCTGCATGTTCTCTACGCAATGTTCTGTTTACCTGCTCAAGGTAAATGTGTCCGGTTAACACGGGATGCTCAAGCCTGATCCCACCTCTGGAATTGCCAGGGTTCCGTGTTTACGCCCACTTCACATATTTGTTGAACAATATCTAAAACGAGGTAAATTATTGATAAACAAGTTGCTGGAACAAGAATATCAGCAGTTTTCTTTAAAGTCATCATTTCGTAAGTTCTATGGTCGATACAATGACTGTCAGCAAATTCAATTATTATTGAGTCAAATACTGAATGACGTTTTTCATACTAATTGTTAGTCCATTATTTAAACACTGAATTGACGACGGATTTTCCAGTTAATTCCCGATCATGACAAGGATTACAATGCGGGTGTGACCGATCAGCAGGGGATGCTCACTTCCCCTTGGCACCTGATCCCACCTCTGATGTTTTGGAGGTCCGTGTTAGCTCTGCTCTTATTTTGTATTGATTTATGGAGTTTTGAGATTGAATACTGTCCGTTATCTCCATATCCTTCTCTTAATAGATTTTATTGAGATCGATCACTGTTCGTGAACTTCACCATTTCATTATTAAAACGTAGATCCCGTGGGCGGATAAGGATTTGTTATAAGGGTGTGTGTGTGGATAACTTCGCTCACGTAAGGGGTCTGGGGCCGCCTTAAGGCCCCCAGTTGGTTCAGGGCGAAGCCCTGGTGGGGGCCCAGGGGGTCAAACCCCCGAAAGCTCATGGGGTTTCGTGCATTTTTAAGAGGAGGCACAATCATAGTGGTATCGGTTAGTTATGTACCAATTTTAGTCATACTAGTTATGTATCAATACTAGTCATATCATACTTTGAATGAAGGGGGGCGAGGGGGCAAAGGCCTTGGAAGCTTTTTGGTTTTTGTGTATTTTTATAGTAAAACTAAGCACAAAAATAGTGGTATTGTAAAAAAGTATGGCATTATTAATTTTATATTATTCATATCATACTTTGAAAATTTAAGGAGGCGTGCGCCCTCCTCGCCACCCTTAAATCCGCCAGTGGTGCCGTGTCACGATAGATGTTAGCACGATAAAGCACCTTCACTGCTCAATGGCCCTTAGTGCCCAGTATAGGTCAAAATTTGAAGCTGTATTCTCGGACAAAATATGTGTTATCAAGCCCCCTCGAGTTCGGTCTAACAGCTTCACTTTGATTCTTTTGTCCAACAAAACGCATTTTGAACCCAGTCAAAAGAGTTACAGTACTGTATATATGCTACATGTACATTACATACTGATCTCGATTAAACACAGTGATTTATATTTTAATAGACAATACAAAAATCGGTGAATACAATAAAGATTAACTTAGTTGAAGAGAACTATTACCTTATTTAGCTGCCGATTGCCTATAAATTCTTTAAATTTTATGGGCGTTGTCCATGAAGCTTCCTTGTCTATTAACTCAGTCAGAGCATGCGTGAATCGTTTCATGTTGATTTGGCCTACTGCATTTACGGAGTTGTATCGTATTTCTCGATAAAATGTTTTTTAAATTGCAGTTACCTGTAACCCCCAAATATATCCTCCCACAGAGACATGATTTTATTGTCAATGAGTTGAGCAGATGTTTGTAGGTTGAAGGAAGATCCACCCCCGACTTTTATCTGTGTATTACTATTGTAAATGAGTAGGCGTAAAGGTTTTCTCGCATAGGCTTAGTTTAGACCAAACACAACCAACATTCAAATATTTTTGTTCGTTTACAAGTTTTGTATAATGTTAGAGTTACTTTTCTTTGCTTTTGTGCAAAATCTGTGCATGAAAAGAAGAAAACACTAGCTATGGTCTTCAACTCGACATTTAGCGACGACGTATTGTCATTTAACAATGGTAATTTCAATTTCTATGTCAATAAATATATCCTGGAGAGCTTGAGAAAAAAGATACCACAGAGTCTGACCTATCTGTTTCATATTTGGATATTATTTTTGTAAAAGATGTTAATGGGTAATATATCATCCAAGATTTATAATAAAAATGGTGACTTATTTTAATTGTCATCTTCCCTTTTTTTATACCACAATATACCTTCATGATCTGCATACTGGGTTTGTATCTCTGATAAAATGGAATGACCTAACGCCCCTTACAACTACATGTAGAAAACCCTCTATGCATATAAACCCGGTTTGCTCTATTTCTTGGTCTTTCTTAGTTTAAACAGATCGGAGATGGTAGGAGCGTTAATTAGATGTAAGGGTGAATCAAGTTTCTTAATTAAGAAAGGTAAGTAGATTACCAACCCTGTGGCCCAAAGAGAGCCGAAGCTGCTTTGGGTGTCTGCCTGTCTTATTATTTCCTGAGTGGTCTTCCACTTTGACTGACCAAAGCACTGACATTAAGTCAGGGAAAATAGATAGTGCTGGAAATAGTGGCACGAATAGAACCGACCTTTCTCAAGCTTTCTGGTACTTGTCTATTTATTTAGGAAACACATTACTTACTGAAGGTCTTCTTCTAGTTATTTTTGATTCACTATTGATTTGATCCTAAGTAGGGGCATTCACATTAATAAGTATAAATCTAATTAGTGATCCGGAAACGTATTATTTTACGCAGTTTTCTTCCGAAATCATAATATAGGTTGACGGCAATAGATCTAGAATGTCGTTACACTTCATATTTCTGCTGTGCAGAAGGACAATTTTTGAGTTATAAGTTAATTACTATTTTCAAGACTTGATTTTTTAAAAAAAATTAATGTTTAATTTTCGCTGCAGAAGCGGTTGTGCATGAATTTTAACGAGTCTGATTTTTTTATAGGAACGGTTGCAAAAAGTGTTGAAGTAATATTTAATGATGATTTATATGTTTTAATTTTGGAAAGATTTATCATTTTCTAAACATTCCTTGAAGTTTGTGAGAATCAACTTCCTTAATAGAAAATAAGGTTTACGAACAATATCCAAGATCAGAAGTCTATTGATTGATTGATTGATTGTATATTGTATAACGTCCCCCTCGAGAATTTTTCACTTATATGGGGACGTCACCGTATGCCGGTGAAGGGCTTCAAATTTTGACCTTTACTCGGCACTCAGGGCCATTGAGCAGTGAGGGATCTTTATCGTGCTAGCGCCTGCCGCTGACACGGGGCCTCGGTTTTTAAGGTCTCATCCGAAGGACCCGCAACTTTCCCTTCAAATTGCCGAGCGTATGGCGAAGGACCGAGATACGAACTCACGACCTTTCGATCACGGAGCGAGCGCTCTACCGACTGAGCTACCGTGAACGGTCAGAAGTCTATTGAAACAATACAAAATGGGGGCTGAGCCAAAGCGAACCCTTCAACATCAGATGTGGGACCGGGATATTCTACAATCTACATACAAGTTTTTCGTCTAATTTTAGATGCAGAAACCACTAAATAATTATCATGTTTGCATTTTATTTCCTTAACTCTCTTATAATATTTATACATACATTTATATCATAAGTAACACAACGAAAAAGGACCCAATTCACATAAAACAGCAATATTTGATACCTCTCTATATACCCCTAATTTGTCCTTAGATATTTAGTGCTGTAAGGATTTGTCCTGGTAAAAATAGAGTGACCTGACATCCCTTACAATTGGAACATCCTGTGTGTATATAAACCCGGAATGCTCTGTTTCTGGGTCTTTCTTATTTTAAACAGATCGGAGGGGGAAGAAGCTTAATTACATGTAGACGTAAGGGTAAATCAAGGTTCTTAATTAGGAAAGGTAAGATGACAGACAACCCTGTGGCCCAAATAGAGCTGAAACTGCTTTGGTTGTCTGCCTATTGTATTATTTTCCTGAGTGGTCGTCCACTGTGACTGACCATAGCACTGATATTAAGTCAGGGAAAATAGCTAGTGCTGCATGGGGATAGTGTCCCGAATAGAGCTGAACTGTCTCTGGTACTAGTCTATTCATTAAGAAAACATATCACTTAATTATTGAAGGTCTTCAATTTACTTTTTATTAACTTCTTGATTTCACCCTAAGTATGGGTATTCAAATAAATAAAAGAAAATCTTATTATTTATCGAGAAAAAGTATCATTTTCACAACGAGATTTTTACAAACTCATTATATAAATTGACGGCAATAGATCCAGAATGCCGTAACACTTCATTGCTCTTCTGTGCCGAAGGATTATTTTTACAGAATGATTAGTTAACGACTATTCTCAAAGCTTTGGAAAAAATTAAAAACCAATGTTTAATTTTCACTGAAGAAGCAGTTGTGCATGAATTTAAACGTATGATTTTTTACGGTTGCATAAAGTGTTGAAGTCATATTTAATGATGATGAATATGTATTAATTTTTGGAAAGGTTTATCATTTTCTAAACGCTCTTTGAAATTTCTGAGAATCAACTTCTTTAATAGAAAATAAGGTTCACGAACAATATCCAAGTTCAGAAGTCAATTGAAATACATGTTGTGAGATGTGTATTGTTTTATTATGTATATAATTAGTAACATTAAGTTTCTTGAACATTCCAGAGTGGTCAACATGTTTGGTCATTTTATCTAGAACATTCTTAAATTTTGTGTATGTCCAGATTGTTCCAGTAATATCATGTTTTAACATTTTCTAGAATATTCTAGATTTATAATACTGTATAAATACCCTGTCAATTCAATGCATAGATATACAATAATTGTGAATACTTTGTCGTATAAGCACTATTGAGATATAACTGGGATATATTTTCATTGGGACATTGTGTGCAGCAACGGACACTCTGATGTATGTATTTTTAGATTCTTGCTAAGTTTGTACTTTATGTTTCATATACTTATTATATATTACTGTAAATAAATTATTGTTAAGTTTAAATTGTGTTATTGATCTTTGCTGGCATTTCGGGTAATTCTGACCCATAACAGAATTGGGGGCTCGTCCGGGATAAAGAATTTTTGAACTTTTGCAGTTTATTGTCATAATTTTGCTCATTAATTTTTTGTTAAATTAAATTATAAGCCAGCAGAAATCAACATGGTGTTTTCGGTCACAGACTTTCTTAGTTCACCAAGTGTTCAGGTTTTTGATACGTTAAAAAAGGATGACTTGATCGCATTAGGTTTGCATTTTGGGTTAGATGTTAAATCCTCTCAGAGAAAGCAAGACATTAGAATTAAGGTTGCAAACAAACTAGTAGAAGAAAACATCTTTGAAAAATACGATCTACCAGAATATACAGTTAAATCAGAGTTAGGCTCTTACAAAATGGCAGAATATCAGTTTCAATTAGAGTTAGAGAAAATGCGATTAGAAAGAGAAAAATTAGAAAGAGAAGATCGAGAAAAAGAAAGAGAAGAGCGAGAAAGAGAAAGAGAAGAACGAGAGCGTGAACGAAAATTTGAATTAGACAAATTAGCAGCAGAAAGAGAAGAGCGTGCAATGAACTTTGAATTAGAGAAATTAAAATTACAAAACCAACCAGAACCGTCAGTTGTCAAAACTGAATTTGACGCAGCAAAAAACATTAGGTTAGTTCCGAAATTTCAAGAAAAATCTGTAGACAAATATTTT